TTTTCCCTTCCGCTTTTCAGCAGCAATAGTCAGTAACCCTTTCACAAACCTCAGCTTGCTAATTCAGGAACTCCTCTTCCTTCCCTCCTGCTTCAGTATCTCAATCCAGTTCTCAACAAGGATTAAAGAGAAGAGAGAGTGCATTAGTAAGGTTTTAGACACTAAGGCTCTGTTAACTAACTGCATTCCCTACAGTAACTCATGGCAATACTAGCACAAATATTTCAACACTCGACTGCATATAATAAATCAACACAGCATATCTTGTAGACATTTCTAGAGTTTTCAGAAGAACTGAAGAACTTCTTTCTGTTGCACCCTTTTCCCTTTTTTCTTCCTTCTTTTTTTTCTTTTTTCATAGCAAAATGGGAGGAAAGAGGGAGAAAGGCAAAGGAAAGTTTAAAACGTGTATTAGGAAAATCAGGATTTTTCACTATGGATGGTTGAAGATGAAATTTAGAAAACTTAGAAGGGAAATATGAAAAAGAAAAGTCAAATTTCTTTTTTTTTTTTAATTTTTTAATCAGCTTGAAAATAGTGCTTTTTCCCACTCTCAGAGAGCTGGTTCATGGAAGAGCTTAGAAGCATTTTGCCTTTGACCAACGTGGTTTGCACGCTGAGTTCAACAGTCCAAAGCAGAGATTGCCTTAGGTTGATGTCATCTCAACTCACAGCCACACGACTGCTCTCTTTCAGTCCACCAAATAATACCTGTTGTGGTGTTCTCTCTGTGGCATCACTGTAAAATATGCTTCTTTAAACACATTAATAAATAAATGGGTTTGCTGAACAAGCTCTGTTTGCTTCATTCACCCCAACGGGGGTCAAATCCCTACTGATTGAAATTAGCTAGAAAGCAGGAGTGAGAAGGTCTCTCCTCAAGTCACATTCCCACCCACCTCCATCCATGACCATACGGGTCAGGGCACAGAAGTGTTGCTCTGGATTCCACGTGTATCCATGTTCCACACTTGTGGTGCTGGAGAAATAGTTGCTAGGTGTGCAGACAGACAGGCTGCTCCTTTTTCAGAAGTTTCTTTGCATAGAAAAGATCTTCGTTCATACACTGGACAGACCTACTGAAAAACTGCAGGAGAGTTGCTAGGCAGTTGACTGAGCTTTGGGGCAATTCTCCCTGAACAACAGGGAATGAAGGGTAGGGGCGGTGCGTTAACAGCCTGCAGCCACACTTTTGGAATTGTTTCATTTCCATTTAATTTGCCAAGGTTTAGGAGCTGTGGCAGACAAACTGCACCAAACACAGGCTGGCTGTATTATGGTCTTATCCTCTCTGTATAAAGCAGGATTTTTCATCAGCTGCAGTCAAGTCACACGCATGCACATCTACTCCTCAAACAACCATTTACTACTTTTCCACTCCTGTGGAGGTGGAGGCAATGTATACACTTCTTAGTTCATGTTTATGTTAAAACCATTTCTCACTCAGAAGAAATCTTAGCTTTGATGAAAGGAAATGTAGTGGGATGCTGAAACGCTGTCTGAAAACATTAGAAGAAATATTGTACACATATTTACTCGCACGTGTTATGATGTCAATAGTTTCCATAGGATGAGATGTTAGGGATAGCATTAAAAAAAAAAACTCTGGGCAAATTACAGAAATACCATCTCTGTGTAATCAGTCACCACCAATAAATCACTTCAGTGGCATTTATAAAGATAATAATATATCATACCCAACTGAATGCCAAACCGTGGCACAGATGGAGCTGCTTGCCAGAATCTCTGGAATTCTAGAAGAGCAGTGGCATCTTTCTAAGTGAAAACAGAGACAATCAGGTAGATGATATGGCTATTTACAGCACAAGCAAAATCAGCTGGTTAGAGCCTCATTTGCCATCCCTTTGACGTAGCCTGATGAAGGCCATGTGAAATCTAGGGACACACAAGGCTAAGATGCATGATGCAGCGCGTGCAGCTTTCCAGATAGGAAGTCATTTTTTTTCCAGACTATCAAAATCAAATCACAAAAGTAAGATCTTTACATGCAAATGCTTTCAATTTCTGATTGTTAGTAAACGATTCCTGTGAGAGAGATCTGCAGCTCCAGCCTAAGTGCAGAGAGCAACGCAGAAGGCTCTGCAAGTCTATGAGAACTGCATGGGATTGAGCACAACTTTTGTTATGAGGGATGAGTTCTGGGGACACGGAGCAGCTTGGCTTCTCAAAGTCCCTTTTCACCTTTTTGCTTCTTTTCACTTTTCTCCTATCTCCTCCTTCTAGCTTTCCCCTCTTGCTTGTATTTGCTATTTTAGGAACTTAAAATCCAAGGCAACGATATCTGGGATCGCTCTTGGGTGTGTTTTTTTTTCAGTTAGGGAGTTATCAGAGCTGGAGCCCTTTGCCAAGGAGCGCTGCCTCCCACTCTAAGTTATATCCCTGAGAATGAGCTTGTGAGACGCCGAGTCGAGAAAATGATCGTGTGATAAATAACCTGAGGTACCTTCTGGCAGCGCTTTGGATCATTTAAAGGCTAGCTATGAAGCTCACTTCTGTCCTTGTTCTCTGCAACAAGGAGAGTAAGATGGCTGATGTTGCTTTTAACTGATTAAATGAAGCAAAGTAGCTCAATAGCACACTGAAAAAGTGCTCTGAGTACAAGTCCAGTCTTGTACTGAAGTCTTGGAAATCTCATTTTCTTTCATTTAATTGACAAAATCTGTAGATCATACAAGGAAGACAGTCCCTGCCAAAAATCAAACATCACTAGTTTTTAATAATACAATGGGAATAACCCCTTAGAACATATGCAATTATGGCAGTGAGTCATTCTGATGGCATCACATAACCACATACACTGGGATTTTGACAAGGAAGAGGCCACAGAAAATTCCAAATGCTTTCAATTCAGCAGTGGTCAGGCTGGTCTTGTCAATGGAAGTGAGGGTGTTTGGCAGATCCACTGGGCCTGGTGCACATTGCTGAGCCCCCTGTCCCACCCAGCACGTGGTATGGACAACATCTCACTGCCAGTAACTTAAAAAGAAGAGAAAAAAAGTTAAAAAATTGAGAGTATGCATCAATGGTAAATGAAAAGCTGGTGAATCACACAGCAACGTGAAATTAGTTGTAAAATAAACTAATCTGACCCATATGTTAGCTGATAAGCAAGTCCAACAACCACAGCTCCAGAGATGCTGCAAGTTGAATGCTAGCAGTTAGCCTCAGTAAGTTTAGTCTGGAAAAACTTGAGAGGTGGGTACAGCTGAAGAAATGAATTTCTTCCAATCTGAATACAATTCCCATATGTTATCAGCATCGTGTTTCCTTACGACAGAAAACATGGGGCCCACTCTGGCTTGGATGACAGGGCTCACCATAAGCGAGGCTGGAGAGAAAGCTGCTTGTGCCAAAGCTTTCAAAGTGGAAATTTTCTGATTAACTCAGATGCATTACCAATAAAAGCCCTCCATGACATAACCTCGTGTCTAACGCTATTACTGTTCTTTAAAAGAAAGAGGCAGCAATTTTCTGGATGCATTCCAAGATATTTTGCAAACAATAAAAGGAGTGTTTTCTTAAGGAGAAGGAAGAAAGAGCGGGGAAGGACAGGGCGAGTATTACTCAACTATTTAGTCTAAAAATTGGAAAATCAAAAGGATTTTCTGACAGATTAATATCAACTTTAATAGAAAACACACTTGTCCTGAGAAAACTCTTCTACATAAGCCTCGAGTCTGATAGTTTAAACAATTATCTACAATTTGGAATTGATTTTTTTATGCCCACATCACTGTGTTTGTTACAGGCCCGAGGCACAGATAATTCCATTAAGAGAAAAAAAAGGCTTATACAAAACACACTGAAAATTCAAGACTGCCATCTCACAAAGCAGCTCAGAAGTCTGACTAATTAGGACTACTTTGTGCAGAAGGAACCGTGCGCTACCTAAAAGCAAAATGCTGAAAATCATTAAAAGAACACAATCTTGGAAGCTCCGTTATTGTTCTGGATTTAGCAGAGCATTAGCAGAACTGCGAGGAAATTGAACTAGCCGTGAATTCTCTGCCACTAATAACTATTCAGGGACGCTGGGACAGACCTTCACTTTGGCAAACGACTCCCCAGCGTGCAGAGCTGCCTGCCCCCAGCCCAACCTCTGCGCTGAATTAACACCATTTCAGCAGGCTTTGGGTCATTCCTCCTAGGTGTGGATCTTTCCAATTTCTAGTGAAATCTGGCTGAACGTAGCGTAGTCTTCAGGGCTGTAATTTGCCTAAAATTCCGTTTAGACTGTTGCAAGGTCCGTGCAATTCTTTACGTGCATGTAAATGAGTGTGTTGTCATTTGTGATTTTGACCAGTCGATGCCAGGAGCCCGGGACAAACAACTTTGTGCCTGTAAACACCCCAGTGCACGCCGCTGCCTGCAGCTCGCTCCCCAGCGCTCCCCCCAGCATCCCCGCATCAGCAGACCGCTTTGCTGACCGCATGCATTCATCTGCAAATGGAAATAAGTCCTAATGCCAAGCTCCCAAATGATTCTTATTATGTTTCTGTGAACAAACAACATTTCAAAAACAATGAGGGCTCCCGTGCCAGCACTCTCGTTGTTACAGCCCTTTGAAACGCCTGCAGTCTGCTCACTGTCCAGGGCGGACAGCCGGGGATTGGGAAGAAGTCAGAGGAAAGCTTATGGAGGACCGGAGGCCGCGCCCCCGGGCACACAGCGGGAGCCGGCGGGCACCAGGCGGGCAAGGCCGGGCGGTGGGTGCGGGCACAGCCCCTATGGGGACCAGCATCCCCTGGCCTCTCCCGCGGGATGTGTAACGGTGGGGAGAGGTGGGTAACGATGGGTAGCGGCGGGTAACGGGGGTAGAGCCAGGCCCTGAGGCGGCGAGGCCCACGCGATGCCGTAGCAACCGGACGTGGGAGGCGGTGCCTAGCGGTTGCCATAGCAACCTGGGGGCGCCTGCGCAGTCGGGAAATGGAGCCGCCGGAAGTACGTCATCGCGCTGCCCCCACGCCGGAAGTACATGTGCCGCTGCTTCCGGCTCGAAGTCGCGCGTGTAGTGCAGCGGTGTCTCCGTTTAGTCCGGTCCCGGCGGCATCATGGTGAAGCCACGCTATAAAGGCCGCAGCACCATCAACCCGTCCCGCGCCAGCACCAATCCCGGTACGTGCGGCGTTGCGATCTTAAGCGTGTCGTCTCACATGGTAACGGGCCGGGCCGAGTTGTGCCGGCCGGGTCTAAACAGTGCTTTCTCTCCTCAGATCGCGTGGCTGGCGCGGGCGGGAACAACATGCGGGACCGAGCCACCATCCGCCGTCTCAACATGTACCGGCAGAAGGAGCGGAGGTGAGCGCGGCCGTGCCCGGTGCTGTGTAGCGGAGTGCCCCTGTCCTTCGTGTGCGGTGGTTGGGAGCCACGCACTGGGCGGCTGCTGGGGCTTCGTGTGGTGGCAGCGTCTGGTTACTGCGCTGATTTGTGGAATGGTGTGAGCTGGGGAACTTGATCCTGAACTCTAATCGATGTGTGTCAGGGAATGTAGCTGGAAAGCTGTGACATGGAACAGCTGATGTGTTCCCATTCACAGAATTGCAGAATGGCTGGGGTGGGAAGGGACCTCAAGGATCACGAATCTCCAACCCCCTGCCACATGCTGGGCCACCAACATTTAATATCAGACCAGGCTGCCTAGGGCCCCATCCAACCTGGCCTTGAACACCTCTAGGGACGGGGCAGCCACAGCCTCTCTGGGCAGCTGTTCCAGCACCTCACCACTCTCTCTGTGAAGAACTTCCCCCTGGCATCCAACCTAATTCTTCTCTCCCTCAACTTCAAGCCATTTCCCCTTGTCCTGCTGTTATCTCCCCTTTCAAAGAGTTGATGATCCCCATTGGGATGTCACAAATCCCAAAATACTCAGAATTCTTTCATGTCCAACCAAAGTGCACCTCAGGATGTCTGAAGAGCCTGACATCTGTATGGCTCTTACTGAGAGACCCACGTGAGAACCTGCAGCTGTGGCACAGTTCCTACCTTATAAATATGCACCTCTGCTACGTTGTTGGTGCTGTGGGGGTTCTGAGGTTGCTGGTTAGGAGTAGCAGTTCTGTTTTGCCAGCTGTTGATTTGTTTTGAGGTATGACTGGGGGAGGTATGACATTGTGAAAAATGACTAAGTTTAATCCAAGTCTCAAGGTGGAAGCGTCTCTTCTGGCTGGTGTTCAGTAGAGGCTGATGGGTAGAACTGATTGCAAAAGTTCCACATCTGCGTGTGAAAGAAAAGAGAGTAATATCTTTGGAAATCATGCTTAAGTAGGCCTTGCACCCCAATAAGATATTCGTATGCACTCTTGAAGAGTTCAGTCAAGCTGGAGTGAGAGTTGAGAGTTTTGGGGTGTGCTGCAGGAAAGCTACTGTAGTGTGTGTGTATGTGTGTTTGTATGTTGCATGCTAACTTTTATCAGTTATCTTGAAGTACTTAGCTTGACCCCAAGCCACCTCTGATAAATAAATAAGTAGAGTTCAAAACACAAAGATGCTTAGTGAGGTGTTTTTCAGAGGCATTTCTCAGTGATTTGACACAGCAAACAGAAAAAATATCAGCCTAGGATCATTGCAGGGCAGTGTGTGCCAGCAGGTGTGATAGCTCGTCCAACTAGCAGTGCTGTGCTGCTGTTTATGAGGGTGGACAGTGATAGGACAAGGGGGAATGGTTTTACACTGAGACAGGGGAGGTTTAGGTTGGATATTAGGAGGAAGTTCTTCACACAGAGGGTGGTGAGGCACTGGCACAGGTTGCCCAAGGAGGCTGTGGATGCCCCATCCCTGCAGGCATTCAAGGCCAGGCTGGATGGGGCTCTGGGCAGCCTGGGCTGCTGGTTGGTGACCTGCACACAGCAGGGGGTTGGAACTCAATGGTCACTGTGGTCCTTTTCAATCCAGGCCATTCTAGGATTCTATGATCTTTGTGCAATCACAGACTTGGATTGGCACTGAGGGGTTGAAAGGTGGCTTTAGTGAATGAAAGTGCTATGGGGGCGTATGGCTTCATTGTGTATTTACGTGCATTCTCATTTTTCACTTAGAAACAAGCGTGGCAAAGTGATTAAACCTCTGCAGTATCAGTCGACAGTGGCACCAGGCACAGTTGCAAGAGTGGAACCAAATATTAAATGGTTTGGTGAGTTTTCTCAGCTTTCAGGCTCTCAATTCAGGTGGCTTGGAATTGGTTGAACTTTGTGGGTTGTTGTAGTTTGTGCTTATTTCAGAATTGTGCTTTCAGCATTGTGTGGGACAGACCTGGAAATGAAGGTGAAATACCCCTCACAACAGGCAAGCTCATTGGCTTCCACTTTGCACGTGCAATACATTGGCTATTTGCTTTCCATGTGCTGCTGTTAAGTACATGTTGTAACCTAGATATTCTCAGTGTTTTGGGGGTACTTTGACTGATGGAAAGGAGGTGCTTTGTATATGCCAATCTCAAATATTTTTTTTTCAAGTGAAATCTTCTATTTCTTACTACTGGTATTTTTTATTCCAGTTGAAGTATTTATATTTTCATAGCGTACTCAGATTCTCTGAAGCAGTTAAAGATGGGGAGTGGTGTAGATGCAGTATTGATTTTCACATGCAGGCAATACTCGTGTGATCAAGCAGTCATCCCTACAAAAATTTCAAGAAGAAATGGAAACTGTCATGAAAGATCCATACAGAGTGGTCATGAAGCAAAGCAAGTTACCAATGTCCCTTTTCCACGATCGGATTAAACCTCACGTGAGTATCATTCATCTGCACTGCTTTAAGGCTGTTGTGTGCACAGAGGTATCATGAATGTTATTTATCAGTGGGAAATTTGCTACGTTTGTAGAAGCATTGGAGGAGGAACTGGGGCAAATGTCTTGGGGTGGGATATTTTTGAGGCCACAACGCTGCAGATGCTGAAGGCAAAGAAGCAGTGTGTTATTTCCCTGTGGTTTGTGAGGTCTGTGTTATGGAATTCACGTTTTCTCACAGGAAATCTACTTCAAAGCACTCTAGGTTAGAATATGGCATTGAAAACGACCATCTCAGCTTGCCACCTCATGTTCTAATGCTTCCAATGGTTGATGTGACATTCAGACCAGAAGCATCGTTCTGTTAGCGTGTGCCCCCTCATGCAGTGAATGTCTGAACTCAAATGTGTGCTTTTTATCTTGAATCAGGAGTTCTGCACGCTGCCTTTGTTTCAAGGAGAATTGAGTTTCAAGCACGTAAACCTTGAGTTGTAACCAGACTGCTTTCATAATGTCTGAAATATTGCTTTGGGTTATTGTTAGATACTTTTTCACATGGGAAGTTGCCAGGTTTGTGTCATAAAAATGTCACCTAAATGAAGGGCATAGTTACTGTAAACTAAAATAAGTGTTACAAAAACAAATTATTTCTTTCAGCTATGAATTGTGTGACGTTCCAAGAAAAGTTGGCATTCATTACGAGCTTCAAATTCTACAGTTTGGACTGTAATTATCCCTGACAAAAACCTGTGAATGTGGCGAGATTTGTGCACTTGTTAGAAAAATAAGAAATGATCAAAGATAGCAGCTGAATTTTCATCATTGTAGCCTTAATTACTTTTGACATCATTTATGCAGAAAGAACTGAAGCATAATTCTTTGGCAAGTGCAGCTGTTTTGCTGCTTGTTAAATATCCACGTTTGTGCTTCTCAAGATTAAGCTGCAGAACTCAAACATTGTTAGGAAAGTGCCTACAACTCCTGTTAGAGGTTACAGAGTTGCATTGCACTGAGGTCTTGCTGGCTGCGTGTCACCAGAGATGGAAAACTAGAGATTGTGGTGTGTTTTCTTCTTTTGTTTTTTGTTTTTTAACACTCCATCTTTCCACAGACCTCCAGAGTTCACATTCTTGACACAGAAACATTTGAAACAACATTTGGCCCCAAAGCACAGAGGAAAAGGCCAAACCTTGCTGCAAGTGATGTGCAGTCTCTGCTGGAGAACGCAGAAGCCTCATCAGAATGTTATGATCAGGGCAAAGACAGAGACCTGGTCACAGAAGACACTGGTGTAAGGTAGATAGGAAGGAGAAATTATTCTCTATTTACGTTTCTTAAACATCAGCTTCATTCACTTAAAGAAAAAAAGTGCATCTGGTACCTCTATCAATGCTGCCACTCTCTGATTGATGAGGATGCAACGAGAAATAAGCTGAATTTGGCTGGATTTTAAGCTGTTCTGTCCCACTATATTTAACTGACCTGCTGCTTCCATGGGACCCTTCTGTCTTCACTGCTAATTCATTGCTTGTTGCATATCTGAAAATTTGTGAACTCAGATACTGGGTTAAATAAGGGACTGGGTCTAATCTCCTCTTCTCTAAAGCCAGTTAGCCATTTACAGAGAGAAGACAGCACTACAGCCCTGTTGTTGTGGTTGTTTGATGTCTCTGGTGATCCACTTCCAGGGATGAAGCACAAGAGGAAATATTTAAGAAAGGACAGTCAAAAAGAATTTGGGGTGAGCTGTACAAGGTAAGCAACACTTACAATTTGCAGCAGGTATTTGTCTGTCTTTTAGCCTTTATGAAGTCCAGTTCTGCAGCACAGCTTGGCAATCTTGTGTGGCAGTGCTCTGAAAAGCTCTGAAAATATTACACTTATGATCTTGCCACCTTAGGAAAGTTTTGATCTGCTGAATTTGCTGTATAGTTTCTTAGAACAAAAGTGTTTGTTTGTCTGAGTGTATAATTCTCTTGCTTGTTTTCCTGTCAGCCTAACTGAACTGACTGATGTAAAGCCATACACTCTCTTCTAACACTGGACTGGTGTTGAACCAGACCATCAACTAGAACAGGAAAAAAACCAGCTGTAGAGTAGAGGGGAGATTCATTTTCAAGTCTCTGCCTGACTGAGCTTGATTCTTGAGCTCTTGTTCCAGTGGAACAAACACCCTCAAAATATAGGATTGAGCTGGCAGAATGAACAATTCCTGGGGCTTTACCACAGATAAACCAGCTAGATGCCCTTAAGTTTCTTCAAGGATGTGTCATGTTAGTAAGATCTTCTTTGGAGTGCTTTGACCTTCAGTTCTCCATGAGTTACCACCTCTGCTAGAGGAGTGGAGTCTGAGAATGAATTAGCTTGGTAGGTGCAATTTCTGTGCTCTCAGTGACTGTTAGTTGTTAAACTGCTTGACTTCTTGTTCTGAATTTCTGAATGCAGCTTAGAACTTTCTCATCCAGGCCTAAAAAATGCTGGGAATGATAGAGCAAAACAGATTTCAATAGGATTCTGCCAAAAATGCAGGAAATAGCTGTGAAACAAATTCACTTGGCTTGAAGCAAGTCATGAAATGACAGCTCCCTGCTGTAGATGCTTAGTGGACTAACAGCAGGTTCCTACTTGGTTGTGTGTTTCATACTGATCCAGCAAACATCCTTTATGGAATGGATGGAGAACATTGTTTTTGTCTGCTAAAGCAAATAACTTCACTGTTTGGTTGTAGTGTTTCCCTTCCCAAGTGCTCCTAGAAGCTGTAGTGCATAAAAGCTGCTCACAGCTGTCCAGCCTAAATTTGGAGGGGAGCAGGGAGGAGAGAGTAGAATCTGAGATCGTTACAGGAAAGTAACAGTTGTTCCTAAGGGCTATAAGGTTTTATGCTATAAGGAGAAGAATGTAGGAAATTACTGATTTGTATTTTGGAAATGATGACTTTCCCTCTGTGTGATATATATGTTTTTTGGTTTTTTTTCCTCCAGGTGATAGACTCATCTGATGTTGTTGTTCAAGTTCTTGATGCCAGAGATCCTATGGGTACTCGCTCCCCTCATGTGGAATCTTATCTGAAAAAAGAGAAACACTGGAAACATCTCATTTTTGTCCTGAACAAATGTGATCTTGTTCCTACCTGGGCTACTGTAAGCACAGCCTCGTCCCTTCAATGTTTTTTTTTGTTCCTTTCATAGCCTCTAATTCTGTTGCCAGTCCTTGTTCTCGTTTCTTTAGGGCATAATGTAACTGGGTCAGTGGGAACTCTCTGCTTGCTCGCTATAAAAGTAACAATGACCATTTAAATCAGTCCAAGTTTGGCTCAGTTGAGCAACAGTCATCAGCCACAAATTCCCTATTTCCTCTGTCTGGATTTAACTGTTCAGCTGATGTCTCCAGAGTATGCTAAATGTTAGTACATTTAAGATCCATATCCACCACAGCTGGTCTGTTTTATATTGTTAAACTAATTAGCTAGCAATGAAGGCGTTTGGGGGAAATTGTCTTTATGAAAACAATAGCCAGTGCTTTTAGCTGGTGGGCTGATAAAAATGCTTCAAAGGTTCTTACATGGCAATTTTTTTATAGACAGTTGTGTATGTGAGTCCAGTGAAAGTGCTGGGTTCTCATCATCAAATTGTTTCCCCACCTTTGCAGCACAGCATTCATAACTGAGCAGTGTTTTCCTCTTTAGAAGCGCTGGGTTGCTGTCCTTTCCCAGGAATACCCAACACTTGCTTTTCACGCCAGCCTCACAAACCCTTTTGGCAAAGGTGCTTTCATACAGCTTCTAAGGCAGTTTGGAAAGGTACAGAACAACCGTGGGCCTTTGTGTTGTTTGGGGTTGGAAGGGGGGTGGGGTTAATATGGGATTTCTTCTGTTTTAATGTGTGGGGTACAGCAGACTTTCTTTTGGCCGTTCTGTCAGCAAACAAGCTTCATTCTGTGGAAATGGGAAATACTACCCCTCAGTTGGCACTCTTAGGTCTGATGTGAATGAATAGAGGAAGGGAATGTATTTTAGGCCTGTTAATGTCCTGCATATATGCATGTTGTATTAGGATGCTCCTTTTAAGTACCTTCACTTTCCCAAGAAAGTAACTGACCTCAAGACAAGAGAAAATGTCTGCCTCCAGACCACAGCTGTCTGCTGTCCCCTGCTGCTGTTTGTATTTGCTTTGTTTTTCAGTCTAAAAGGTTTCTAATTTTAAGGCATTTACAAGTAAGTTTAAAGCAGCAAGAAACACATTGGGTTCACATCTTCCTTCTCTTTCAGTGGCTGGAGTTCTTAGACAGATTCTGCCCTTGTACATTTCTCCTGATAGAAAAGAGCTGATCTCAGTTTTCTTTAATCTGGTAGATTTGGAGCTGCCTTTGCTTTGTCATACAAGACCAGAAGCTGTTAAGACTGCAGTAGTAACTCTGTCATTTTCTATGAGGTATTAAAATGATGTGTCCTTTCTTAACAGTTACACTCTGACAAGAAACAGATCAGTGTGGGATTTATTGGGTACCCAAACGTTGGCAAAAGCTCAGTGATCAACACGTTGCGGTCTAAGAAGGTCTGCAATGTGGCTCCCATTGCAGGTGAAACCAAGGTAGGAAGACGCTGCTGTTCTGAAGATGATAAAAATAATATTTAAAAATATTAAATGCCACAAGCAGAATAGATGTAAAATTGGCTCGTTAACATTTACAAGTCACTGAAATTATACAGGCTGTATGACCCTGAGTCTGAGGGGTGGCTGATGAGCCAGGCATTGTTCTGGAGTGCTGCTGCACAGAAGCATTTCTGAGTTTCTGTGCCTGCCGCCCTGCCTGTTCTGCAGCGCTGTGCGATCTGAACGCTCAGCTGCCCTGACTCAGTGCTGTGCTAATGCCAGGTTTCTGAGATGACATCTGTGTGTTAAACCTGTGCACTGAAAAGCTGAACTAACAGTTGTGTGTGAGAGGAGATAACGTGGGGACCACTGGTGTCTTTCAGGTGTGGCAGTACATTACTTTGATGAGGCGGATTTTTCTCATTGACTGCCCAGGGGTTGTGTATCCATCTGGAGACTCAGAAACAGACATTGTTCTGAAGGGAGTGGTACGTATTTATGCTGTGTGCAGGGAGAATTCTTGCTGTTTTCATTGTGGTGAGTTCACTTTCCAAAGGGTTGATAAACTTTAGCATTCGTTTTTAGGTTCAAGTTGAAAAGATTAAGAGCCCTGAAGACCACATTAGTGCGGTGCTGGAAAGAGCCAAACCAGAGTACATCAGGAAGACATACAAAATTGATTTCTGGGAAGATACAGAAGATTTCCTGGAGAAGCTTGCTTCTAGGACTGGAAAACTACTAAAGGTTTGTGAGCATCCTCCATTTACGGGTTGGAAGAGCACGGGGGTCTGTTTCTGCACTGAACATGGGAAACATGTTTCAGTTGCAAAGAGATAATATGAAGATGATATGCCCTGCAAACAAGGACAGAAACTGTTACTGAATTCTTTCAGGGTGGTGAGCCTGATGTGCAGACTGTCAGCAAGATGGTTCTCAACGACTGGCAGAGGGGCAGAATTCCATTCTTTGTGAAGCCACCAAATGCAGAAGCAGGTTCTGAGGTGAGGATGTGAAGCTCGTGCCTCTTCTTGCATATTATTCCCTTTTGCTAATGATACCCACTGGTGCTTTTGCCTGAGCACCGTGTAACTTGGGCTTTTCCTGACGTGATTCAGGTGATAGTCATTTAAGTTTGGTAGTTACATGGAGAGGAGCAGGTAGCAAAGAATTCTTCCACAGAGACATCTGAGCTGTTTTCCAATCGTCTGACTAGTAGAAATGTCAGTAATGACCATGTTAGTTATTTTAGGCTTTGTCCAAAGGGATGTTTGGACAGGCTGTGGATGATATATCCATTATGCCCTTTCTCCTAGCCACCTGCATTGGAAGGAGCAATGACATCAAGCCAATCTAACAACGAGAAGGAAATTTCTGAGCCTGTAGCATCAAGTATGGAGGCAACAGAAGAGAAGAACAACACAGACACAGAAATGAAGCAACTCATGGCAAACGTTCGGCAAAACTTTGGGAGGATTAATGTAGCACCTCAGTTCTCAGAAGAAGACCTAATTCCTGTAGATGTGCCAGGCTTTGATGAAACAGACAGCGATTGTCCTGAAGAGGAGGAACAGGAAGAAGAGGAAGAGGAAAATGAGCAACATCAAGATTCAGTAGAGGCAGAATCACAGCCAACTGTACCGAGTGCCAAAGAGAGCTCGAAGGCAGTTCTTCAGGCTTTGGAGGAGAAGATTGCAAAATGCAAAAAATTTCTGGATAAGGCCAAAGCCAAGAGATTCTCAGCAATAAGGTATCTGAATCTGTGTAGTGACTCGAGCGTTTTCCTGGGGGAGGGTGGGAAGGAGACGATAAGTTTCTGTTGTAGTTTCACTCCATTTATGCTGCATTGCCATGGCTTCGCTACTTGAGCCATAAATGCTTGAGCTTTGGCTAAGCAGCAGTTTGTTTTTGAGAGAATGTTCTAAGAGTTCCTGCTGGCCATAATAACAAAGTTTTCTCACTTTTGGAAAGCTGCCTTTTCAGCTATGGTTTAGAAACCTGTGGGGAGCAGTATTTCTCCCTTGCATTTTTCCCTGCTATTGACCTTTCTTGAGTAATACAGAGGGCAGCGTCCTCTCTGTATCTGAGTCTGTGCATTTACAAGGCTATCCCAGCTTGTGTAGCAGGCCCAGTTTTAGCAGAGTAAATCCCCCAGGTTCGTGAGGACTGAGATGTCAAGGTGAAGTGTTAAATGTTGCCCTTTGTGCAATGCACAAGTCCAGTAACTCTAGAGATCAGCTTACTGGAATATTTCTTCCATGCAGAGTCTGCGGCTTTGCTGGTGACAGGCTGCTGGGACCTACTGGAGATTGATCACTTGTTAGATATGGCTGCATTTTGTGTTATGACATTCTTTTATTGCCTGTTTTATCTTTGGTAGAATCCCCAAGCAGCTGAGTGAAAAAGTGTTTGCAAAATCCATGCAGAAGGCTGAAGAGACCAAAGAAAATGAAGAGAAAGGTAAAACAAAATTAGAAGTTCCTGATCTATGCTTGGAAATCCAATGAGAGAGAAAATAGGGATTAAAGGTTTTCATTGGCTCCTGACTGCAAGTTCTTCTTTCTGCAGAGCTGTTTCTTAAACCTCTGCTTGTGAACCCAAGGCTTCACTGCTTCATGACCTCGCTGTGGCCTTTCTATAGGACTGTAGGGTCTGGATAGTAAAACATGCCCTCAACTACTGAGTGAAGATAAAGACAAATGTTGTGCTCTCAGCAGAATGGTGCTGTGGGTGGTTTGCAGTCTCAGCAACATCCGTTCCACATGGTATAGTATTACACAGCAGGGGGTGGAAGCATTTTGTGACATTATAAAAGCACAGAGCTACTTCAGGCTATAGATTTTACTGTGGTCACTTTTTGCGAGTCTGTCTTCAGTTTCCAAAGCAAGTTTGATTAAAGGCAAAATAATGTGGAAGAATCCTATACTGACAAGATGGATATTTTTCTAGACTTACGTAAGGCTTTAAGCAATCTGCTTACCAGAAGTGGTTTTCTGGTAAGGGATGGACACGTTTTTTTTGGTAAAAGCTCTTAAAATACCACCAAAGGATTGCTTTGCTGAAATGGATGGGACAGTGACCCCAGTCTTAATTCTGTGGGCATGTGGGTGTTGTGGAAGATGCTGCAGAACATGATCTTTGCTGTTTGCAGGTGGCACAGTAAAGAAAAGAAAAAGGAATAGAGAAGAGGAGGATGATGAAGACCACTTGGGTAAACAGCCTTGCAAGAAGCTGACATCCAAAGAAGTAAGTGTGATCTCCTGTTGTGTAACAGATGAGCGGAGTAATTGGGCTGGCTTCTTCCTGCATGGATTGCCCATTGTTATTGGAGAGGTTTGAGACCTGACATCAGCTGTCTGTTGTGACAGCAGTACGTTCCAGCTGGCCATACAGCCATTAGAGGAGCCAGCAGGTAACAATGACAGTGTTGAAAGGGAGATGAAAGGGAAATCCTTTGTAGAGAGCTGTTCTGCTTACCTAGCCATGCTGGTAAGGGAACAGGGATCTAAATCTGACAGATGAGAAAACTTGGGTCTAGATGGGCAAAAGTCAGTGGCTGTTCCATTCTGTCTACAGCAAGAGCTGCTGCTCCTATTTCTTATTTGTGTTTGTTGAGTCTAGACAGGCTATTTCACTTGGTATTTGCAGCATGTTAAAGTGATGTGTAAGCAAATCCTGCACAAGGATTTGTTTGTTTTGGTTTGGCTTTTTTTGGGGGGGGGGGGTATTAATATATATGGACTGTTAGGACTGTCAGAGGAAGACTGACAGTGGAAGACTGAATTGTATTCATGCGTGTTTGGTCACAGTTCCTGCACATCAGTTTTCTTGTAATTCTCCTCCACTTTTGTAGGGATTAAACTGCATCCTCTCACGTGATGTTTTAAGAGCTTGAGTGGGTGGATTCTTTATAGATGTTTGTTTGTTCACATCAGTAATGGTTTATAGGAAATGATTTGTTTCACGTAAGGTTTGTGGAATGGGAAGTGAACACTGGAAGAATGCAGACAAATTCAGGCAGTGGGTGCTGTGGATGTGCTAACACATTTTGTGTGCATTACAGAGGAGACGAGCTGAGAGGCAGCAGCGCTCCAAGAAAGTTGGAGTCCGGTATTATGAAACTCACAACGTGAAAAATAAGAATAAGAACAAGAAAAAAAGTGGCTCGGAGGCACAGAGATCAAAGCACAAAAAATATAAACATAAGCAATAACTGTTGATCCTATTAAATTTTACATAAAACAGCTCCAGTATGCGGTGGCTTTTTTTTTTAATATAAAACTTGTAGTTCCCAGTCAAAGCAGAGTTTGACTTGTCTGTCTGGTTCCCAGGAGTAACATCTCGTTCTTTTTCTGCATCATCTGAAAGTTCTTTATGCAACTGGATCGTGGTATTTCCACATCATCTAAGGCCAGTAAACACTGCATTTGCAAAAAACACTTCCTGAAATGTTCTTCAGAGTTGGTCTGCTGGAAATTAGCTTTATGGAGCTGTTTCAGTGAGCACAGGGAGCTTCTCTTCCTATTCCTGTTTGCTGATTGTAACTAGCTGGTTATGCAGATATCAGCTGAAACTGTCATTTGCATTCACTGAGAAGTGCTGCTTGGATACATCTTTGTTTCATTAGAAATAAGCACAGGGAGAGCTTTGGTATTGCTCATCACAGGTGACTGCTGCTGGTTGCTGAGAAGGATTTTGGTACATAGATAACACCGACTTGCACGTGCTCAGGAAGTATTCTCTAACTGCCTTGTGTCCAAGAACTACCTAAAACCTAACAGTGAATGTGACACACATGAGTGTAAACACTTCATAAACTGCCTCTGAATGAATTTTGTACATTTCCAGAGTAAAAATTTTAGAGATGCTTGCCTGGAAAAGCATTTATTAGTTTATTGCTTTGAAGATCATCCAGCATATTGCCAACTAGCAAGACCCAGCCATGTTCACATATCGAGGAGCTGAATGCTGTGATGGCACAGGAAGAAGGCACAGTTGTTACTGAGGTTTTAAATTTCAATTCTTAACGAGAAAAAGGGAGAAATAATGCAATTAGACTGCTTTCAGTTACCGGTAAGTGAAAGTTCAGTATTGTTTTATGAAGACAAATCTCTGTCATTAATTGCAAACTTTGTGCTCTGACAGCTCTTCTGGCCTGGAGGCCAACAAAAAATTTACTTATTTGGTGCAATGATGCTTTCAAGTTGAGCCTGAAAAGCAAATGGGAGAATCAGTCAAATTAGATTTAATCTAGAAAATAAAAACTGTGTGGCTGAGCAGTGATAAATTGTCTGTTAGATATTCAAAGAGAAGAGCTGAGTGATGCTGTGGTACTTCAACAGGAACAGAGCAGGGGGTTTTTCCCTAGCTACTCCATTCCTCACTACATGTTTTATAAATTAGCTTTTCATTCTTGGCATGCCCACTTGTTGCTTTCTGAGAAGAAAAGAGCTGGCCTTGGCTCCATACAATGAAAGACTCATTTTATAATGTAAAGCACTGAGGAGGAAATTAAATAAAAGCTGTTGAAACAGTGGTCTGAATTCTCTGATTTCAGGCTGGACTATGTTAGCTAAATTAAATATTTGGCTCTCTGGGGTTTGGAACACAAACTGACTCGAGGACAGAAGTAGCTGGGAACAGCAAGTTTTTCAGTTCCTGAGACAACTTGACGCCCAGTGAAGAGATTGATCAGAGAGCTTAAGAAGCATGTAGTGTGTGAGGCTTCCAGGGCTTTCAGATTGCTCTCTTCCTAAAGCTGCCATAAAAATAAACTACCACAGTGATGCACGCACAGCTGTTAAAATACTTCAAGGAGGAAACACGGCTTCAGCCCTGCACATATTTGCTCCAACAGTTACTGTATTTTGTGCCCTAAAACACTTCAAGATGGCCTGAGGCTGTTAATGGTTTAGAAAGGAAAAACTGTAACAATACTGAAGATCAGGAGGGCAGCTTGGTGTAAAGGAAGTATTTCAGCTCTAGCCAGAAACATTTATGGATATGATTACACTTTGTTTTTTTCCCTTCTGAAAGCAAAGTAATTGACAGAAGCTCTGCTTTCATTAAAGTAGCATACACAGAATTACTCCTTTCAGATACAAAACAATTTCAGTAATCCAGTCGAGATCACCATGGGACATAAAGTGTTTTCCACGAGCAACAAGTGAATAGGAAGAATGCTTCTACCTCCATCACAGTAATTACACTTCAAATGTGATGTAACAGACTTCTGGAGGCTAGAGATGTCAGTGACGTGTGCTCACCCTTCCTAGGTTTTGTGTTGTCCATAGTTCTATTTTACATAGAAATGGGAAGTTGCAGGAACGTGTGAGGGCATTCTCACTGTACTACAGGTCTGCTGCTAAATAATTGTAGTAAGAAAGCATAAAACTTGTGCTATTTTCCCCACTTCATTGAGAACTTAAAGCATTAATACAAATGCATCATAAATGGAACTCCTATTGAACTGAATGGATAAAATTAGTTCCTTTTACATCTTTAATTGCAAAATGCTTGGCTTTACCATCACTAATTCGAACTGCATTTCTTTACTAACCTTCAGCTGTTGATTGGTTCTCTTCAGGAATTGGACCTCTTCAGTGTGTTTCTTTTCCTCTATCTGTCGCCTTTCAATCTCACGTTTCTCAATAGCTTCACATTTTGCTTTCTCTTCGCTCACCAGTCTTTCCAGCTCCCGCTTCTCCTCTTCTAGCTCTTCAATCTCGGAAAATAATACAGATCTCTCATGTTTTGTTTGCTATTAATCAATTTTCTACTATGCTGAGACAATGCTATGTTGTACGGTCTTTAAAATGCTACAGGAATAGTAGCAGATCATTTATGAAACGCAGCCTTTAAGGCAAGTATTGGATACACTTTACTGCCATCCAGTGGAAGCAGAAATAATTGATTTTGATACAAAAGCTCATAGCATAGCTTTCTTCATGCTGTACAGCATAAGGGTAACAAACCAGCTTACTCTTTTTTCCATGTCAGATTTGCCTTGCTCTGCTTGCAGTGCCTTCCGCATGCCAAAGGCAATGCTGCTCTCGTACAACGTCTGGTAAGCAGCAATTGTCATTTGGATCTCATCCCTGACTCGAAGCAGCAGCAGTCCTCGCTCTGCACAGTTAATTGTGGTTTCACGGATCAGCTCATCTTTAAAGAAAAGGTACAGCAACAGAGTTACACTGAGTTGGGAATGCTGGGTGTGCACAATGTGCAGGGCTAGTTGTCTTTGCCCTGTTCTCTGCACCACAAAAAGCAGCATCGATTTAACTGGAGACGGTCATAATTTTGTTTGTTGTATTGCAGCTGTAGCATCAAGTGCTACCTAACTAAACCACAGGCTTGAAGTAGAGGGGTGGTACAAGAAAGGTAAGAACACATAACAGCAAAACCCTTCAAACCTGTAATGGTTTTATGCAGCTTTCAGCACTCCAGCAGAGCTCGGTTTAACCAAACAGCCATCTCTTGCAGGCAGAAGACCAGCAATACCAGGAGTGGCAAAGGGTTTTAACTTAACTGCTATGTATAACTAACACAATGCTGAGCCCCTGTATCTTTTATATATGTGTACAATGCCTGTTCCAGGCTGTGCTTTTAAGGCAGCTGTGTGGATACCAGGAGCACTGACCGAAGCACTGTGAGTACAGCTCCCTTCGCACGGGGCAGATGCCTGTTTCTCTCGCCTGCCGCTGTTGCAGCTTCAGGTCCAGCTGCTCCTGCAGCTGCACGACGTCCAGCCGGGTGCTGGGAGCGCTGGAAACCTCCTGCACCCACAGCCGGTTGTCCTCCTCCCACGTCCTGCACAGAAAAGCAGCGGGCTCAGCGGGGCGGCCCCGAGGAACGGCTCGGCGGATCCCCAACCGGCTCACCGCGGCGGTAGGATGGCGTTCAGGATCTCCTGCGGTTCCTTCGCTGACGCGGCAGCGGCGGCCGTGCGAGGTCGGGACGGCGGAACGGGACCCGGCGGCGGGGAGGGCTGCGGGATGGCCTTCAGCGGGAGGGCCTGAGGGGAGAGAGCGGTGGGTGCGGGCCAGGCTCGGCACAGGCCGCTCCTCCCCGCACCACTCACCTCCGGAGAGCGCTTCTCGGTGCGGCGGCTGACGAGCATCGGCGGGTTGTAGCGCAGCAGCGAGTCCGGCGGCGGGATCATGGCGGCGGCCGTCGCTATGGCAACCGCGCCGCTCGTTTTTTTTCATAAGGCGCATGCGCGGAGCGGAAGGCAGCGTGCCTACGCAGGCGCGTTACGCAGCGGTTCTGGGAGAAGTACTTCCGGGTGACTGCGCGCGGGCCGGAAGCGGCGCGTACTTCCGTTTGTGGCGGCTCGCGGCACCATGGAGGCCGCAGCCGAACGGCGACGGGAGCGGCGGCGGCGGGAGGTGGCAGTGAAGGCCGAGAAGCGGAGCCCGCGGCGGTCCGGTTCCCGTTCGGCGCGTGGCAGCCAATCGCCGCCGGCCGAGGAGCGGCGGGGCAGCCGCGGCAGGAGCAGCAGGTAGGAGGCCTCCTGGCGGCCCCGCGCCGCGGCCCGCAGCCCGCGGGCCCCGCTCACTTTTCATGTCCTTGTCTTAAAGATCGCCAAAAAGAAAGAGCAAATCCGGCCGGAGGAGCAAATCTCCGCGCGGCAGGCGGAGCCGGAGTCCGCATCACGGGGCTGTGAGGGTAAAGCAGGTAAATGGCGTTGGGAGCGGCGAGGCCCGGCTCTGTGTGCTGCCTGCCGCTCGGCTCTGCACACAAGAGTGGCGGCGGGGCCCGGGGTGCGTCTTGCTGCGGCCGTGAGATGTGTGCGGAGGTACGGAACCGGCTTCTGGTCTGGAAGCCCTCTGATCCTTGTAGAGCATCTCTTTAGGAGTGTAATATCTCGTTGCTCCCTGCTTCATGTTGTGCCATAAGGAACTGATTATTTGTACCTTTTAGTGAGCCCAGACTCTGTCACTTCTGCAGGCTGGCCCGGAAAGCTTCCTTTTTCCTGATGTTGATGCATTGCTCTCCCTCAGTCTTGCGTTATTCAGCTCAAGTTCAGTTTGCAAGGAAATAACTTTATCTAGATATACGTGTCACATATTCCAGTCTCTGTTTTTCACATATTGATCTGTGATCTCTTTTGAAACTGGACTTGCTGTTCTTTCATTCTTATTCTAGTTCCATTGCTATAAGTCTTTTATTTTCTTTTCCTCAGGAACGAGATGACCATCCTCGTAGAGGAAACGAGGAGCGAAAGCAGAGACACGCATCAGAGCAGGAACACAGGAGAGACAGAAGCGGTGAGAGAGACAGGCACAGAGATCACTCAGACAGGAGGAAAAATCCAAGTGAAAGGCCTGGGGGTCGAGGCCACGAGCGAGAGAGAGATGTTCAGAACATCCGTGAGCAGCAAGCGGAGAGGGAGTTCTATAATGAGAAAAGACGAGAGCATCGACAGAATAACGAGGGCAGCGGTCTTGACCAGAATCCAGAACACAGGCAATCTGATAATAAACCAAAAGATAAAGCTGTAAACAAAGAAAAACCGAGCTTTGAACTGTCTGGTGCCCTTCTGGAGGATACCAACACTTTCCGAGGCGTCGTGATCAAGTACAGCGAGCCCCCAGAAGCTCGAATTCCAAAGAAACGATGGCGCCTCTATCCTTTCAAAAATGATGAGTTCCTGCCAGTCATGTACATTCACAGGCAGAGTGCTTATCTCCTGGGCAGGCACCGCAGGATAGCAGATATCCCCATCGACCATCCCTCCTGCTCCAAGCAGCACGCTGTGTTCCAGTACCGGTCAGTATTGCTCTGTATCCATCTGGTAGATCGGGGTTATTTGGTCACTCGTGTGCAAAAAAAAATCAAACAAAGTGGATGTGCATTAGAAAGATTAGATTCCATTAGATTAGAAAGTGCGTTTTGCTCAGAGGTTTTTAAGTAAATGGAATTGAGGTATGACTGGAGCATATTAGCATAGCAATAATCAGAAATATCTATAATTCCTTTCGTTTAACCGTAAGGAGCCTTTTAGTGAGAGAAATAGTCTTTAGTAAGCCACAGCAGGATTAAACACAGAACTGCATCTATATCTGGAGTAATTAGCAGGTGGAATTGGCAGTAAAAAACCTTTCAAGGAGAGCTTTTCATTTGGTCTTTCACAACAAAGACTGCTGATCTCCTTTGGAAACAGCAGGGGTTGCGTGCTTCTGGAGGCAGAGTTGCTCTCTTAAGGAGCAGCCATCTGTTCTGTTTCAGGAATTACTGTGTTGCATCATAAGAAGTTTTAGGGGTGAAGCAGTTCTGTCAGAATTGGAGCTTTTCCGTGTCCCATCTCTCATTACTCTCCTTGTTCTTGCTCAGATCTTTGAAGCACGGTTAAGTATGCACTGCAGTGAGGCTGATGGGTTGGAAAATCCCTGTGTTGTGATCAGAATGATGTGGGTTTTCTTGTTTTGCCAGGCTTGTGGAGCACACTCGTGCCGACGGCACGGTTGGCCGCAGAGTGAAGCCGTATATCATCGATCTTGGCTCTGGCAATGGTACTTTTCTAAACAACCAGAGGATTGAGCCGCAGCGTTACTACGAACTGAAAGAGAAGGACGTACTGAAATTTGGATTCAGCAGCAGGGAATACGTTCTCCTCCACGAATCTTCAGATAAATCTGAGGCCAACGCAAAGGACGATGACGAAGAGGAGGAGAAGGAGGAAGAGTCTGACAGTTAACAGAAGAGAAGGGAATTGGGGACGGGGAGCAGGGGAGGGAAATCTTTTTTCAATAAAACATGCATTGGGATGTAAACGTTGGAGCATCAAAGCGCTGGTGCTTCTCACTGCCTTAAAGTCCTTCTTCTGTTGCTGAATGGTTCTCATGGTTTATTTCGGGGGACTCCACTGAATATTTGTCTCTGGTAGGTCTGCGTGTCAGGAAATCCAGGTCATTCTTCCCATCCTAACAAGCAAAAAGGGCACCTGGATGTGAATGTTCTGATGCTGGAAACGTTCAGCAAATGTTCAAAGACTTTCTTCTTCTGGAAAAAATGATGTAGAACGCAGCAAGCGTATTTAAAAATATTTTTATTAACTGTTTTGTCATAACCCTTTGAGAGTGCTACTGAACTGAGATCTTAGTTAAAGTGTAACCCGATGCATTTTTTTGTAACATGTCTTGTTTGGTAGAGTTTGCCAAATTTCCTTGGCCATTTAGGAGTTCTGGACAGGAGAATTTACCTGAAGAGAAATACTGCAAAGCCCCCCAGGTGTTTGTGTGTCCTGGGTTGTTGGTTTGCACTGTGAGCACTCGGAGCAATGGGCATTTCACCAGGATGTGCTGTTCCAAGGTGAGTCCAAATAAAAGGAACTGCTTCCTGGGGCTTTAGGCTGCAATAATATGATTTGGGAGGGCTGAGGTCTACATCTGTGCACGTCCAGTGTGCATTGCAGCAAAGAATGCTGCAACTGTGATGGATGTTGAGTTTCTCCTCCTAAAGCTCGGGCCTTTGTTTCTGTCAGCTCCATGAGTAACTTAATGTTTTTGTTTGTAATTGTACTTGTTATGTGGTGGCATGTTTTTACTGGTTTGCACTATTTAAGTTTTCTTTATATATATTAAAAAAAGAAAAAGTAAAATGGAACTATCATTGGTTTATAACATTCTGCCCTACTGGAAAAGAAAACAACGCTTTAGGAAGAGGTAAACAAAACCAGTTCCACTCACTGAAAGAAAATGCATCTTTGTGGATGTCTTCTTCCAATGGTTGATAAAAGAAACATAAGACTTTCTACACTGTTGACTGCTCAGCCTGGGTGTTTGTTCTGTGGCCACACACACTGTTCTGACATGCTGTGTACATACACTGTGTATACAAATGTGCTGTGCTGTATGCACACTGGATTTATGGTGTAAATATGGGCTGCTGATGTAGGTTTTCAAATAGTAAGCAGGATGGATCTTGACTAGGAGGATCTCCTTTATATATACACACTCTAGAGGTTTTTAAATAAAGAATTTGTAAATTCAGCCCTACTTACCTTTAGCTGTGATGTTTTTCTGATGTCCCGTTTTCCCCCTTTGTGTTCTCTGAAAGAGATGCACTCATTTGAAAGGGAAAGGTGGGAGAGATGCTGACCCTGAGGGAATATGTTGCAGCTGTTAGAGGTTTAACAGCTGTAGGACTCGCAGATCGTTGTAACTCATGCAGATGTTTGTCACTGGACTATTGATCCTTTAGCAGCAGCAGGACTGGATGGATTCAGTGACCCCTGGGGTGCTGGTAGGGCTGCAGCTGCCTCGCTGCTCTGCAGGGCTGTGAGCGCATCTCGTCCAGCTTGGGCTGCGTGTGTCCCTGTGAAGGAAACACCAAAGTGACCCCGGCAGTCCTCAGCTATGGGGGAAGGCTGGGATTACCGTGTGGTGCAGCAGCACAGCTCTTGTTTTGCTGTACCACTGCTGATGGTTTGCCTGGCAGGGGAGCACAGGCTGCTGACGGTGGGACTGCGCTGCACCGAGCGGTGACAGAACCAACATCAGCCTCTGCCTGGGAGCGGCGCAGCATCTGATCTCAGGTCTCATCATTGATTGCCTTCATTTCGGTGCGAGTTTTCCTTATTCAGGTTCTGAAGCTGGGTGGATTCTCCGGAGCAGCGAGAAGCCCTGAGAGCCCTGCCTTTGGGCTGCTGAGTGGGCAGAGGGGTTCAGCCTTGGGTTTGGGGTTGGCCTTGTTTGCTGTGCCTGCTGGTTCATGCTGCAGCCTCCATCTGAGCGCTGCTTCAAGCACAGCCCCAAATCCAGTGCACCCTCAGCAAGTTTGCTGATGACACCAAGCTGAGCGATGTGGTTGACACGGTGGAAGGAAGGGGTGCCATTCAGAGGGACCTCAACAGGCTGGAAAGGTGGGCCTGGGTGAACCTGATGAGGTTCCACACAGCAAAGTGCAGAGTTTTGCACTTCGGCTGGAGGAATCCCAGACATCCATACGAAGAAGCAGTTCTTGAGAGCAGCCCTGCAGAGAAGGACCTGGGGGTCCTGATGGATGAAAAGCTGAACATGAGCCAGCAGTGTGCATTGCAGCTCAGAAACGGGATCCTGGGCTCCATCAGAAGAGGGGTGGCCAGCAGGGATAGGGAGGTGATTGTCCCTCTCTACTCTGCTCTTGTGAGGCCCCATCTGCAGCACTGCATCCAGATCTGGAGCCTCCAGTACAAGAAAGGCAGGGAGCTGTTGGAGAGGGTCTGGAGGAGCCACAAAGATGATCAGGGGGCTTGTTCAGCCTGGAGAAGAGAAGGCTGCAGGGTGACCTCATTGCAGCCTTCAGTACCTAAAGGGAGCCTACAAACAGGAGGGGAATCAACTCTTGGAAAGGGGAGATAACAGCCGGACAAGGGGAAATGGTTTGAAGTTGAGGGAGGGAAGATTGAGGTTGGATGTGAGCGGGAAGTTCTTTGCTATGAGAGCAGTGAGGTGATGGAACAGCTGCCCAGAGAGGCTGTGATGCCCCGTCCATCTCTGGAGGTGTTCAAGGCCGGGTTGATGGGGCCCTGGGCAGCCTGGGCTGCTGTGAAATGGGGAGGTTGGTGGCCCTGCGTGTGGCGGGGGGTTGGTTGGAGCTTCATCATCCTTGAGGTCCCTTCTAACCCCGGCCATCCTGTGAACCCCGCCGGCCCTCAGCTCCGCTCGCAGTTCCCGTTTCCCCATCGGGGCGGCGCGGAGCTCAGCGCTGCCCCCCGCCGGCTCCTCCCCGCAGCCCCGCCCGCTCAGCGCAGGGCCGCAGCCGCCATGGCCGCGCTGCACGCCAAGGCCGGCGGACCTCCGCAGATCCCCGATACCCGGCGGGAGCTGGCCGAGCTGGTGAAGCGCAAACAGGAGCTGGCGGTGAGCTGGGCGCGGAGCGGGGCGGGGAGGCGGCGGGGCGGACGGGCGGTGAACGGCGATGAACGGCGGTCGCGGCCGTCGCCGTGCGGCGGGGCCCGGCCCGCTCAACGCTTTGCCCGGCAGGAGACGCTGGCCAACCTGGAGCGGCAGATCTACGCGTTCGAAGGCAGCTACCTGGAGGACACGCAGATGTACGGCAACATCATCCGCGGATGGGACCGTTACCTCACCAACCAGAAGTACGGACCAACCTCCCCTTCCCTTCCCCAACCGCCTTCC